AAAATTATAAGGGAACATATTTTGACTTTCTAAACATTAAATTATAGTGATTAATAAAATAGAGAAATAATTAAAAAAAAAACGACAAAACACAGTTACTAAATAAATGACTGCTGCATGGAAATAATTTTGTTGTAATGGGTGAACGAGTCGGATCATGACGGGGACAAGTGCGTGAATGGCGGCGTTTAATTGGAAAATCAAATAATTGAGAGCGACTCACATACAACCAAATTCAGAGTGGATTTAGCGTGATTTTCATAATTATGACATCATATTAAAAAAATACATTGACAGCCCAAGCCCGGATTCTTATTCCATGAAATATTACGCAGATCAAGCTGCAAGTAAAGGCAACAAAGGTGTGAATTCGACATTCAACACCAATCACCGAACAATTCAGACAGCCTGCAAAAATGAAAACAGCCTGAGGGCTGCGTAATTTCCTGTTTGTCTGACGCTTCGTTTTCGTGTCATTCTCAAAATTACTGCTACCTTTTACCATGGAGCTCCATGCTTTTACATAACACGAGTGGTTTCTATAAAACGATAATCAGGATCGCAAAAAAAATCAAATCATTTGAAACACTTACTCGACGTCTCTCTTCCTTCTGAAATCCGCCTCAGTGATCATGGGCTAGTCCGGAATCTATTTTTTTTCGAAAACATTTTGTATTGCGCCAGGTTTAAGTTGTCAGCGATTCTGGTTAAAACCTAGTTGTTTTGTCATAGACAAGGACAGTTTTTTGAAAAAAAGAATCTGAGGTGAAGTGGACACTACATACCGTAAAAACTCGATTAATTCGCGGTAGTAAAAATAATTATTTTTTCAAGTGCACGAATTAATAGCATCAAAACGGAAATTATTGGTTTTTGATGCGCGAATTAAAAGAGTACTTTTTGATCGATTCAAAAAGGAGCTGTTTTCATAAATTTATTAGTAATCTGTTTTGTTTTCCAATGAACACGATTACAGGACGTTTTTTAGTGCCTCTGAGACTCGTGGCTAGCGACATTCATGGCGTATTGTCGGGCAGAGAACACGCACTGCGTCAAGGACCACGCACTTGAAATGAAACAGTGAAATGGCAAAGGTCACTCTGTACACAAACAAACAATGAACACGTGGCTACAAAGTAGCCGTCTGGCTGCACTGCCTTTTTTTACCTTGCCCGTACCATCAAAGATGGAAGGGAAAGGTATATTAAGGGAAAGATTTTGTCCGGCGTTGTCGTCGTCGTCGTTGTCGTCGTTAATAATTGTTATTGTGTGCATGATAC